AAAACTATAATCACTACGAACCGGCCCGCCCTCTCTTCGTCCTCTTTATCTGCTGCTTTGCTCCCAAGAAACAGGCGCCTATTGGTCCGGCCGCCAGACCAATAGGCCCAGGAGGCAATAACTCCGATGGGCGAGAGAACGAATGCAGAGAGATAGAGATGGGGAAAAGAGAAGAATAGAGAACTTGAAAAAAAAATGGAGAAAAATAAACGGTAGAGAGAACGAGGTAGAAAGATATAAAACTAGAGAGAGAGAAAGGGGAGCAACGGAGGAAGGGAATGAAAGAATTAAACGAAAAGAAACAGACGCATTGATTGATTTGGGGAATTTGACGTCCCAGAACCACCATATGATTATGAGAGACGCCCAAGTAGAGGGCTCCGGAAATTTTGACCACCTGGGGTTCTTTAACGTGCACCCAAATCTGAGTACACGGGCCTACAACATTTCCGCGTCCATCAGAAATGCAGCTGCCACAGCCGGGATTTGATCCCGTGACCTGCGGGTCAGCAGCCGAGTACTTTAGCCCCTAGACCACTGTGGCGGGGCAAAGAAACAGACACAGAAAATGAGAAAGAAAAAATAGACAAAGAAGCATTGCCTTCTACAGTGCTTGCTAATATAGCCTTATATCACATCAGATCGAGGGTTGGGGAAAGAAATGACGGGGAGAGCAGGGGAAATGAGGTGGTAAAAGGGTGAAGCCCAAAGCAAAGCTTCTTATAGTTTATGATATTAATAGTAATAATAATATTAATCGTTCACCTTGGACGTCCCATACCCAAAATATCATTATGATAGAAGCCGTAGTGGAAAGCACCGGGAAATTTCGACCACCTGGGGTTCTTCAATAACACACTTAAATCTAAGCACACTGTCCTCTAGAATTTTCGCTTCCATCGAAAATGCGGCAGGCGCAGCCGGGACTGGATCCCGAGACTTACGGGTCAGCAGCCGAGTGCCTTTTAGCCGCTAGACTACCGTGGTGGTGAGCCTTATAGTGTTTGAGAAACGGTGGGTGATGGACTTATAGGGACATTATAGGGCATATATGTGGATTCGAACGTGGAAATGTCAGTCAGCGCCAGCTATTGCGGAAAGGGCGATAGTGGAAAACTCTTTCTGGCCTGTTTGGCGTCACGTAGTACGTGATCTTAATACGAGATGGCAGCTGACCAATGTTTCTCCGCATACGAACTCAAGGCATCAAGTCTGCCAGAACGTGAGCTGGCGCTGACTAACGCTACCCCGTTTAAACGCACTAATATACCCTATAAAGTGGACGGGGCGATGACCGCCATTGTAGCTCAGTGGTAGAACATTTGACGCACTATTCAAAGGTCGCAGGTCTGGATCCTGCCGATGAAAACTTATCCTTTCGTCCACTTTTCTTTCTTCACATTTACATTACCATTGCTTATAGCAAATACCACTCTCTATACTTCCCCAATAGCAAGTATTTTTTTCATGCAAAGCTAACCAGCCCAATATCTCCCTTTGCTAACACACAAAGGTTTGGTCCTCAAAAATTTACGGCATGCGAACGGCGTCAAACGCAGCTGTCACCGAACATGCATGACAAGCAGGTGTACCGCAAGCTGAAGCCCGGCTCGCTGGTCCCGTACCACCGCCTGTGGTCGGACCACGTGCTCGACCAAGTGGCGGCCGGCAAGGCGGTCATCATCGGCGACCGCACCACGCTGCTGTACCACGCGTCCGAAGTGCTCCACCGGTACCCGAACCACGAGTTCTACATGGGCAAGGAGCGCCTCTTCTCGCACCCGCTGGTCATCTACTAGAACCCGCAAAACGTGCGATTCATCATGGACGCCTGGGAGCGACGGTAAACGAGAAACAACATGTAATAAAGAAAAGAAGTGGTTCATCGCGGGCGGGGCTCTTCTTACACTCCAATACAGCCATCTCACATATTTTCATCATGTATTCATCATATACAAGAGCGCAGCCATCTAAGGACCAATCTTTCGGGTATGCGCCACCAGTGGCTATATACACCACCGGAGGATGGACAGACCCACACCCTAAGGAGGAGATAACGGCGCGATCGTTCATTACACCTTCAGAGGCTGTTTAGTGGTCTTTTGAAACTCGCACGGTCCTAGCATGCGCAGATACGTGGAGTGACTTCCCACATGTTATCAGGAAAGCTCCGTGTTAAAAATAGTACAACACAGATCCATGATAGCACAATTGATGTGTCACCGACACAGTCCGACCCGCTTTTCTCTAATGATAAACCCTTCTAAAAGTTCCTTCGTCGCCTGACACCTATTCTCGCCAAGCAATCCAACGCACACCCCCTTCTTTTATTATATTTTTTTGTTGCGTGTGATCAAAACTTTCGCTATTTTTTTGCAACCAATAAAAATGTTGTGAACTCCCTTTCAATGATTGCTCTTTGCGCTAATTTTACAGTTTTGAGCCTTTTGAGCCATTTATTCGTTACAGCTGCTATCACGGGTGGCTTTCGCGTTTTCTGTTTCGTGATACAGCGAATAAATGTAAACTCGCACTGAGTTCGTCACAAGTGACATTTCTTATATCAGTGTTCGTTGTAATGAGGTTCAAGTGTATTTAGCGGTATGAATACTTGCTACCAGTGAACGTTATCTTGGTTTATTTGACCGATAAACTCTAATAATCAGGTTTGAGCGAATATTGAACTTCCGGCTCGAAGCCAATTAGTGAATTCGTTCATTCTTCGAGTATCACATATTATAATAAAAAATAGACATATTTGCCATGACGGAACTAAATTGCCCAATATATTCTTATTTGAAACAAGGCCTCTTCAAATGCCATTTTTTTCGGTTCAAAGAAAATGGAAACAACTTTGAATAGTAGCGGGATTTCCCTTTCGGTATAATGCAAATGATACCTTGTAAAACATGTTACGTTTTAAAATTTACTATACTTAAAGTATATAAGCCAGCATGACAAGTTCTTAAAATTAAAGGAAAAACGATGAATCAATGGGAGTGTAATATGTACATTTAACGTTTAAGTGAGGCATTGCGGCAGAACGGACTTTCTTTAGGTGATTTCACGGTTTATCAGTCCTCCACTGCCGCGAAATCACACTCATCGAGGGCTATGGATGGTCTAATATACACCTATTCATTCATTTAAACTACATCGAAATTTCCACCAGTTTGAATTCAATCGAATACTGTGACATTCGTTCGAATATCTGAAACATAAAAATATTTGCAAAAGCACAATAATAATGGCATTAGTCTTGAGACCTTCCTAACTTCAGCTACCCCAACCATTATCCTTTGCAGGCATTACCGCCTGACTGAGGCAGGGGTGGTGCTCGAGTGGCACGGCGATACGGTGGTCTCCTAGAGAGGCGACTTCTTCCGCTGTCAGCGCGTCGACGTCGGCGAACAGGACACGCTGCATTTTGGTCTTTTTGCTCCTGCTGATCGGCCACGGCTTGGCCTTGGCAGCCCGGTCAGCGAGCTGCCCGCCGCCGCCCTCGCCAACCGGTGCCGACCACGCAACGACGGGAGTGTCGCGAGTCGCGTCGCGAACGCCGCCGCTACCTTCACCACGAGGGGGCTGCGGTCGGCTGGTGGTGCGTGTGCGCCATCCCGCCTCTGTGATCGTTGCAGACACCGTGGTTGCACCGTAAAGCTGTATTCACACGACGGGCGAAATGAACAAGCGTTTCCTTTTTTAGAGAAATAAATGCGGAAAGATAAGAGAGAGAGAGCAGGACGCAGCAGAGCGAGCGACAGAAGACAAACAAGTTAAAAAAACGATCATTTCACACAGGCGTATTTCACCAACACCAAGTCATCTATTTAGTCACATAATTATCTTGCTTCAGAGATGATATAGCAACATGCAATTTCAGCGAGATGAACGCTACTGCTGTAAGAGGGCGTGCACTGGCGTAGTTAAGGGGGAGAGGGAGCGGAGTGTTCAAGTTTTCTCGAGATTGACAATTTTTTCGATGATTCTACGTAAGACGTATGTACGGTAGCCGCCATTTAATGATGCTGAACGAATGGCCTCTTTTCGCATATCGCAACGCCAGTGGATAACGTCCGCAAACGCACAATGCACCAATCCACTCGTTAAAATGCCTGTACTAAACCCTCATTATGAAGAATTGATTGATTGATTTGTGGGGTTTAACGTCCCAAAACCACCATATGACTATAAGAGACGCCGTAGTGGAGGGCTCCGGAAAGTTTGACCACCTGGGGTTCTTTAACATGCACCCAAATCTGAGCACACAGGCCTACGACATTTCCGCCTCCATCGGAACTGCAGCTGCCGCAGCCGGGATTTGAACCCGCAACCTGCGGGTCAGCAGCCGAGTACCTTAGCCACTAGACCACCACGGCGGGGCTTATTATGAAGAATTTGCATATGACGCAATATGTTTTATATATAAAAATTTGTAGTAAACGTAAAATCATTTCACTGTATCTATGCAACGACTATTCATGATTTACTTCTTTATAACCAATAACGCGTTACATCCGTGTTATGTCGATGAGCAGATCGCGTTGGTCTCCATCCCGATTGGACCTGATCGCGATCAAAAAGGCCCGTGTGACGCCGGTGTTAGTCAGAGACGGACTATATACGAAAATTCGTTGTAAACGTTATGTTAATTTCCCTGTATGTCAAGAATATCCATAATATTTTACTTCTTTAAAACCAATAAAGTCTTATAATATTATGAGATATGTCGATGAGCAGAACGCGTCGGTCTCGATCCCGATTGGGCCTGATCGCGATCGAAAGTGCCCGTGTGACGCTGGTATTACAGAGACGGCTTCAGGAGGACGAACCAGTTTATTTGTGGCAAGAAAAGCGCGATTAGCTAAGCATTCTCGCAGGACCGCTACAACCAAGGTAATGTGGCCATGTGACAAACTGCCACGAAGAACGTTCGACAGTTGGACTTGCTGTGAGAGAAATGAAAAAGGAGGGAAGGGAATGAGGTGGGAAGGTTTGATTCACTTCGGTGAAGGCGGCGATTTCTTCTCCTGACGCCTGAGCCAGTCTATGGCAGCGACGATCTTGAGGGCCGGCGCAAGGTCGATCTTCATTCTTAAGATGAGGCATTGTTTGCGCAGTCGCAGCAAAGCCTTGCCATCAATCTGGTGCCTGCGGAATGTTTCGGAGCAGCGGGCGCACCCCGGAAGTAGGGCGATGTACGAGGCGACATCGTCCACCGTCGTCTGCGAATGCAACTTCGGGAACCTTCTCACTCGAGCACCGAGTATTCTCCGCTGCGTCATCACGGGCATTTGGGACGACACGTAGAGGGCGTCAACTGGAACAGGTAGTGGCATTGCCTGTGGTACATATGGTACCAGTACGGGGATGGCAGCCGCGACGGACGCACCCGCGTCGGGTTGAACTGGTGCAGCAAGCTTAGACGCCTCGTCAAGTGCTTTGACCGTACGGTCCTGCAAACGATCCCGTCCCGGGGCGAAGGTTGTAGACACGACTCGGTAAAGGTCCGGCACCGTAGAAACAGATACTGGCCTGAACACATCCACCAGTTGGAAAGGTTTGGAGGAACCGTGCACGGCGCAGTAGCTAGGATGCACGACCGGATGTGTTTACATTGCTTCGTTATCTTGAACGCTGGGCGAGCTGGGGATCACGGTCTGTTCGTGTTCGTAGTCTTTGCGTTCGTAGTCTACCAGCTTAAAGTGGCGACCGCATACGCGTAAATTCCTCCGCCGATCTGATACGGGAAATCAGATGCGCTGCAGCCACTCGGTGCGCCGGCTGCCTTTCCCAGGCGCACGGTGTCGCATCTTCACTTGTCGCTAATCAACGGACTTGCAGCTCACAACGAGGCAAGGGTGATTCATGAATTCACCAGTGTATAGTGTTCTGTGGTGTTACAACAACCGCGTGACGCTCACTCGTTGCGCAGCTCACGTCAACATGGAGCGTGTGGGATCCAAGCAGACAACGTTCGCCGTGTGCCGGAAGTCCCAGAGCCTTTCTTTGCAAAAAATTTTTAAGCAAAGAATTTGTAAGGTGTTTTACAAAGTACAAATTTCGTTCTCTGCTCATTAGAAAAGAAATACTTGTGCTGCGTGTTCCACAGTCAATCAGATCAGCTGAAAATGATGACGTCAATAGGGCAGATCATGTCACTTGGTGTGTGGGTGGTTGAAAACGCGTTTGGCCTAGTCGAAGCGATCTTCAGCGATCTCGAGCGATCCGCAGCTTTAAAGCTTTCTAATAAATTACACAGGTTACGCAGAGCGCTCTAATCGGGCTCTAAATTACCCTTGGAACTTGGTCAACCGGCCCAATGTGTTTGTGAAAAATCACAAAATTTTCTCGTCGACAGCAAATGGAGTTTCAAGCAAATCCAAGTCGTTCGACAGAACACAGGTTTTTTCGGTGACTTATGATTATGCCACAAGTCTGAAGGTTTCACGAGCAGCATACAAACAATGTTAATGGTAGAAAACAGACTCAACAGGTTTACTCAGCGGTCCATGTATTCCCGGGCTTGAGATGGGTGTTCATGCGGGGAAAGCATGAACGGTCCCTTCATTGCCCTGACTTCAGCTGAATGCACTTCGCGAAAACATTTGAACGTGTCAAAATAAACAGAAAAAAAGCCAGCGTGTCAGACGCAGTGGCTCGGAACATTTACAGCGAAACGCAACAGCGCGATACCCATCCAATTCCATCATGAACGGTTACCTGCCGTTGGCCACCACCCAGCTTTCTTCCTCCATTGCCGTCGCATATTTTGAAATGAAAGTTACTATGTCGACAGGCTGCTGATAACTACAAGTCATCGGGAACAAAAACTCTCACAAAAAATTATGGCGCGGCACTTGGCAAAGCACAGACACTTGGTATAAACAGCACTTTGTTTAATTTAGGAGTGGAAATATACAAAGTTATAGTGTTTGATTATTTTATTATTTTCAATTGACACTAGGCCAAGCCGAGGCCGTCCCTTGAACAAAGTGCATTATTCGAGGGCAGAGAGGCTAGCAGCAAGATAAAATTTGAGAAGCGATTGAGAGAAATGGGGAAGGAGCGTTGGGCTACGAAGGTTTTCAGCTACTTTTACTGTGTACATGAGGAATGTCGATACAAAGTAGAGGAAGTGAACCAGAATATTGACGGGTAAATACTTAGAAAAGAGCAGAGGGCCAAACCAAAAAGAACTATCGTCTCATACGAAGGTGAAGGAAACGGAGACTAAAATGTTGAGAATGGGCATGATTAAGAACTCCGCACTAGAGATCTATCGAACTTCTAAGCAGGAAATTGCCAAGGAAAGAATTAATGAAATTACTCGGGATGGTTCACTACTGTTTGAGACCAGGGCGGGAGTATTGCAAACCAACACATATCGGGCCAAATACGAAGGGGTAGACACGATATGCAGTGCGTGTGGAGAGGAGGAGGAAACTGCCGAACATTTGATAATGTTCTGTAAAGCGCTTCACCCTATAGTTCAGGATGATGATGCAGATTTTTCCAAAGCACTTGCGTTTAGGGACAGGGAGGGCAAAGTAGACTTTGGGCGGATAGAAATAACTAGAAGGAGGTTATCATATTGGTGGCTAAAATCAAGGCACGAGCGAAAATTATACCTTTCATGGCAAAGTTCCCGTCCTCAACTTCACTACTTAAAAAAGATAAATCTACGTTTTTATCCACCAGCTAGTACGGCTAGGTGGCGGTACCTGCTACCCCATTTTAGGAAAACAACCTTATCATAATATCTATCCATTCAGCAATAGCGTAAATGGCGGAATCTTTAGTTGCTAGTGTACTAGAATACCATATTCTAGTACACTATACTACAAAGCACGAAGGAAGAAAGGTTTCTATAGTGGCTAGAAACTTTAGTGTACTAGAAAGGGGTGGTGTGCTGACTGAATGGCGGAGAGTGACACACTTCATGTCGTCGCCGATCGCGGTGTCACTTGAAGCTCTCCGGCCAGTTGAAAGGCGCGCCAATTGCGCATGGCTATTGAGCACGTAAGAAAAGCTATGCCGCGTGTGCAACTTTTCTCGTTGTTGTAAAATAAACCACTGCAATCGTGACTGATTTACGTAGGGTGGGTGATGTGGTAAGCGGCTACGGAATGAATGAATGCTCCTCCACACAGCCACTGCAGTACCAGGGCGTGTAATTGGAAGCATTCATTTTTTAATCTGCTCGTCGATACGACGTTCGATGATATTTATCCACTGTAGGGATAACAGCAACTTCACTCCCGCCTTTCGAGCCCTACTGTGCAAATAGGAACAACGCCTCATTTGCAAATTCTTTTTTTTTCTCGCTTATTAACGTGGCCATTGGGAACAATCTGAATATATTTTTTTGTGAATCACTCATGCGTCGAATCACTTGACTTTGTAATACATTTATCCACATCGTAATCTTAAGCTTCTTAATTACACATGTAGATCATACGAGGTAATCAAGACTGGTTGGACTCGTAGGCAAATGTGGTACTAACGAATCTAGTTAAAAATACCTATGCATAGTTATCATCAGTACATAACGATCAGTATAAGTCACATGCATTCACATATTTTTACTACACCATAGAGAAAAATAGAGCAGGGGGCGAATAGAACAGGACACGAAGAAACACGCAACAGCATATCGTGCTGACAAATTGACTTTGTTTGCACAATCGAGCGTGTCTATGTATGCGCAAATACTTGCCATACTACAATATAAAATGGAAATGCAGGAAAAATTTTCACTCGTACCAAAAAATAAACAGATGCAACAAGCACGAATAAGCATCTGCTACTCGACCACGTGAATGAAAAAATAATATGCAAGGAATATTCAATGATATTCCAAAATCTATCACTACAGCCGAAGACAGAAACGTCGTTATTGTGACTTCGATCAAAAGCGATCAATTCACGCACCATTAAGAATCTACGCATATATGCATCAAAGTGAGCGTCAAATATTAAAAAACAACTCGCACAAAGCCACCCACGATGCAAATTTTGCGTCATCTAGATGAGTGGTTGACGTAGTTATCAGCCCCCAGGTGGTCGAAATTTCCGGAGCCCTCCACTACGGCGTCTCTCATAATCAAACGGTGGTATTGGGACGTTAAACCCCACAAATCAATCAACGTAGTTATCAGCCAAAAGTTGAAATATAAAACGCCAATCTCCAAATGTTGTACTGATTGATTTCTCTACCTTAGCCAATGCATGATTATGGCTTTGCGGTCACTTCTGTCGTTCTTTTATTACTTGTTTTCCTTTGTTTAGTTTTTTATCGTGCTTGACACTTACGTCACTCTCAGATGGGTCAACTTTTCTTGTCATAGAAACACTAGCCCAAAAATTTATTTGCACGTCCACCGCATGTTCTGTTTGCACGACCACCGGAGGCGGTAAAAAGTGTAACTTTGCCGGCCAGATGCAGTGGGAGACCGTTTTTGATACTTTGGAAATTTGCGGATAGACAGAGGTGTTGATCTTTCAGAGAAACATATCCAAGTGCAGCAAAGCAGCACGTGTGGTACCGACCAAGGTCCTTCAAACCAGCAAATGGCATGAACTGTCCTGCTGCTGGGCACCCTCAAAATAAAACAGCTGCTTAAACTACTTGGGCGAGCTTAAAGTTAAAAAAATAATGATAAAGCTAAAGACCCCTGACCCCTTCTACGTATATACACATATCATTTTTACTTTTTGTCCTTTATTTATTTATTTTTATTTATATACAGTATACTGCGCTCACAAAAGACTATGCAGGCGGGAAAATATACAGTTTCAAATTTAAAAGCACAAATGAAGCCGTAAGGCACACAAGCTCACAGAAAAGGGAAACAAAGCAATCTTGCGGTTTATCTAAAAGTATTACCAGCGCAGCCTGTCAAGATAAAAAAATAATACAGTTCTTAGGAGAGTGACGAACAGTATAAGAAGTATAAAAGTAAACAAAAAAGAACTCTTCCCGGAATACGTCGGGTGCGAAAATGCAGTGTTTGCAAAGTATGGAGTAACACTGCATCACTAAAACACATAGTGAAAAAGCGAAGAACATTCACTGGTTTACTGCATTTCAAAATCGATAAGTAGCGCACTTTGAAATGCACTTGCAGATTTCGAAGAAACAATACTTTGAGCAAGCGAATTCCTATCAGAAATGGTTGGCGGAAAAAAAAGAATACTTAAAAAGATTAGTGCGCGTTTGATAAGGAAGTAGATTATGTGAATGTCGATTTCTCGATGGACGTGACAAAAATGGCTGAATAAATGCACGCGCATTCACACTATGTCTGTTGTAAGAAAGCATAAATAAAAATGTAAGTCTTGATATTTTCCTGCGCTGCTCTGAGGTTGGAATCTTATTTGCCAGCATTAAAGATGATGGTGAATTTGTCCTTTTATATTTGTTGAATATGAAGTGTACTGCCCGCCTCTGTACCATCTCGAGCCTATGCTTATCTTTTTTGTAGTGGGGATCCCAGATTACGCTAGCGTATTCAACTTTAGGCAAAACATAAGTTTTGTAGGCGAGAAGCTTTGCATCGGGGGGCACGTTTTTCAGTATGTGCATAAGTAGGCCAAGCTTGCGAGGAGCTGCTGTGCAGATGTTTTCGATATGGGTGGACCATGTGAGTTTGTTGGAGATCGTCAATCCCAAGTATTTGTACGCCATGGCTTCTGCGATGGTGTCAGCATTGATTTTATACGTGTATAAAAAAGGTTGTCTCTTATTGCTTATGCGTAGCAGTACAGTTTTCTCGTAATTCAGGGACATTGACCATGTTGTGCACCATTCGTGGATTTTTGCTAGAGTAGAGTTTTAAAAAATTTGATCATTTTTGCATGTTACCTTTTTGAAAATCAAAGAATCATCGGCGCCCGTGTGCTCAGATTTGGGTGCATGTTAAAGAACCCCAGGTGGTCAAAATTTCTGGAGCCCTCCACTACGGCGTCTCTCATAATCAAATGGTGGTTTTCGGACGTTAAACCGCACATATCAATCAATCAACAATCATCGGCACACAGCCACGGTTATATCAACAATCAGGACATTCAATATCAACAATCAGGACAACAATCATATATCAACAATCAGGACAATCAATCAACAATCAGGACACACAGCCGCGGTTATATCGTTCACGTACATGAGAAAAAGAATTGGTCCAAGACGCTTCCCTGAGGCACACCAGACGTAACTGGCGAGCGCGTGGATGAGTATCCATCAACATCAACAAACTGAGATCTGTTAGATAAGTACTGTTTTATCCAGTTTATAATAAAAGATGGTAGGCCAAATCTTTGAAGTTTGTTTAGCAGTAGACTGTGGGATACACGGTCAAAGGCTTTGCTAAAATCCAAAAAGATTAAATCAATCTGACCGGCCAAGTCGAGGGTTAAAGCAACCTCGGGAATAGTGGTAGTAGGCTGTGTGATTGTTGAAAGGTTTTTACGAAATCCATGTTGGTGATCAGATAGCAACTTATTGTGTTCAAGAAAATCGGTTATGGAATGTACGAGAATGTATTCAAGTACTTTGCAGCAGGAAGACGTCAGGGATATCGGGCTATAGTTTTCTTTCTTTTTTTTTTGAAGTGGTCTTTTTTTTTTTTTTTGAAGCGGTCTCTTTTTTTGGGAATTGCCAGATTGCCAGTACCCGGGCGACACGCCAATAATCTAGAATGATGGCTAGCTTCAAACAGGAACGAAAAATCGCAGTGAGAATTTTTGACACAGGCTC